ACCTTCATCGTCATACAGGGTGTCCAATAAAGTTTTGAAAGCGAAAAAACTGTTAAAATTGAGCTATTTGTGAAGGGTTTTCCGCCATTGTGGGCATCGCTTGGCAAAAAGTAAAAGATCTAGGAGTTTCCTGAAATTCGTCCTTCCATACTATACTGATGGTATGGACTTGCTTTCCACAAATTTTCAAATTTTTACTACTCTTATAGGCTGCTCAAAAAGTTCATTATTCGTTCAAAAACGGTGAAATTTCGATTTTTAGAGCTGCCGAGCAGAATGGTTAAGCGTTACCAAGCGAAGTAAAAGTGACATAGGAGAATAACAATTTTTTCCTTAATGTTTAAGGTGTGTGCTAGGTTTAGACCAATTTTTGAACATCTAGTGTCAAATCCCTGCCACTAACTAATATATCAAAAGAAGACGTTTAAAATGCCAAAAAAAAAAAAAAAAAAAAAAAAAAAAAAAAAAAAAAACGGAAAAATAACGATCTTTAGGCTCCGTGCGCGCCGGGCTAAATTATTTATTTTCAAAATCCTTTTGGCTAACGTGTTTTTTTATCACATAGAACCATTTACGACTGTGCATCATTTGGTTTGGTCCATTTAAAGAAATAAGTCCCACCTTAACCTACGGCACTGAGCGAAATCAGATAAGCCAATGCGCGCAACTACGGGTCCAACCAGGAGGGTATACAATATTGGGGACAGATGTAAGGGCTTATATTTGAGGGGGGCTACTGTCCCCTACCCCTTCCCCCTAACCATGTCTCTCCGTACTTCCTTTAAATACCGAAGCACACCCGGAGACATGCTCATCGATTCGAGCGCATTTGCAAGGCTTTTTCTGTAGGAGGGGGGGTTGGGTTTTTTTAGGGGGGGGAGGGGCTTAAAAACTTATTAGCAGCCTCCCCCAACTCTGAAACATCAAAAACAACATTGCCTCATTCTGCTAATGGGATATCTGCTCCAAAATCAGCAATTTTCAGCCAAGTTAGGAGTAAAAATCTTTAAATCGATTTTATTTTCCAGAAGCTCGACCGAATTTGTTCGTTTAGGGCTTAAATTAACGTGCACACGTCCTACTTTAACGTTCCGAAGGAAAATCGCTGGTAATATGTTTTTTCATTTAACTTTGGTTCAAACGATGAATGACCCACTGATCTGTTGCCAACAGATCGGAGCGAAGACGCTGACAAATTCCGCTATGTTTGCTGCTTTTCTTGTCGTTTTTCGAATGTATGTGATCGACAAACTTGTGAATCGATCGACAAACCTGTGAATCGATCGACAAACCCGAGAGTTGATTGACAAACCTGTGGATCGATCCGCAAAAGACGTGAATTGATCGACGAACGTGTGAATCGATCGACAAACCCGTGAATCGATCGAAAAACCTGTGAGTCGATCAACAAATCTGTTAACCAATTGCTGTCGTTGCATGGTGTTGACAAACCCAAAATCTGATAGTGGAGTAAACGATTGTTGACGTTGTGCTCAGGCAGTAAAACGTAAAAACGTAAAACAGGAACGTGCCCCTGAGCATGCTGTTAACGATCACGATGTCAACAAGCAGAAAAAAAAACATCTTCCTTATGAGTAAAATTAAAAAATTAAGTGCACAGGAGAGGTTTATGGGTCATATATAGTCAGATTAGGTTAGTTTAGGTCAGGACATGTACGGTTAGATTAGGTAGGTAAGGTTGAAGTTAGGTAGGGTAAGGTCGGGGAAAGTTGAGTTCTGTGAAAGTGGGGTAGGTCTTGTAAGGTAAAGTTGGGTGAGGTTAGGTAAAGTTGGGTAATGTTAGATAAAATTGGGTAAGGCTAGGTTCGAATTTCGTCGATCGGTTCACGTTTTGTTTTTTGGATCGATTCATGTCGATTGAATTGATACCGTTTTTCTTTTAAATTAATCGTCAATCGAATCGGTGTTGGTCGTTTCGCGGTGGTCGATTTACGTTTTTTTTTTCGATCGAATCGACACCAGTTTTTTTCAATAATTTGTCCATCAAATTGGTGTCGATGGATTCACGTTTTAATTTTCCGGTTGATTCTTGTCGATCGAATCCATACCCTTCTGAAAAAAGCGCGTCCGGCCATTTCCGTGTCTCAGAACAAACTGGTCGATCAACGAAAATTCGAGAAATTGACAGCGGTCGCAGCGGAAAAAATCCACAAATTCCGCTCCTTAGGTGCCGTGCTCCAAAATGTAAGCGTCTTCTCACCCTGGACTCGGTAGCAGCGTTTTTCGCCGGCGTCTAGGCGCCGCGGAAAGACACCCCTTAGGTTTCGTACCTTTAATCCTCTGCATTAATATATATTTATGAGCCCAATAGTGCTCAACATTTAAAATCTCCAAATCCTTAATGGAATCGTCTCATTCAACCAAGATAGTTTCTTCCTCCATGGCTAAAACTTATTTTGTACCGAACTATTCGCAGGACTCTTTCGGAACATATCGACGGTTTAAGTCGGCAATCACATAACTCGATTTGTGACGTCACAGACTTCCTGTCAGACGTTATTTTTTGAAACGGAAAACTACTCAACGGCATTTCTTTAAAACTTCCGTGATTTTTCTTTTCCGCGTGCGAAGAAAATTTTGCGTAAACTTCAAGGAATGATGTCAATTTGTTATCTTTTAAAAAAAACATGAAGGTGGAAATTTTCAGACACCGCAAACGAGTTATGTGATTGCCAACTTACACCGTCGATATGTGACAGAGGAAGCAGCGCTTCTGCCCTGTCCCTCTCCATTGTTAAATGCTACATGTATAAAAAATCTACATTCCAATCAAAGTTCATAAATCCCATGATGAGAATGGCAAGCTCCGCTTTTGTGTTTCAAACAAATCTGACGTTGGGTCAGTATATTAAAGTAACGCTTTAGTTAGGACAGTCTTCACTTCAAATAATGACGAATTTGCAGGTGTCTGAAATCAAATGAATTTCGTATTTATGAGTGGAAACTACTGGGTGGACTACACACGGATATCTTCAGGTTCAGTTTTGGTTCATGATAGAACACCTATTGGAAAAGATATGACAAAATAATCTAATCTTCTGAAATACACACATTTAAATGGAAAATTCCGCCAAATGACGACACAGGGTGGTCATTTTCCTCACTTCTAAAATTACTTTTATACTATTTCGATACGAGGAAAAAATTATAAAAAATACTGTGAAATTAGCTGTTTAAGTACTTTCAGAAGACTTATTGCGGAAATTGCTTGCGAATTATTGCGTTCTACTGTCACTTCGGTGATGATTTGAGTGCCATGCTGAGATCAGCCCTTACGAAAACATAGCTGGTACTCATGAACACTGATGCGAGTGTTCCAATAGGCCTCCGTTTAATTAGAGTACTTTCATAGGGGGAGTATGGCTACTGGGTCGCATGAGACACGTAGAATAAAAAAAAATTGGCGGCGACCCCAGGCGAGAGTGGTTGAGAATGGGTTCTTGCCGACCATTGACGTTCATTATCTGCTCTATCTACTACAACCGTGCCATAGTACTCAGAAGTTTAAATTAGATATGCATTCCTCTTCAAATGTAATGCACAATCCCTGGTAAAACTGATCACCTAAAAATATAGGTGACATCGCCTCACCAACTTAGGTGAGGCGATTTTGGGAACAGGCGATATCACCTAAAATTATAGGTGTTGTCACCAAAAACTACTTGTAGGCGATGTCACCTAGCATTGTGGGGCCGTGAAAAAAGCCCCCCCCCCCTAAAAAAAAAATGGGTTATGTACGGGGATTATTTAAAAAAAACTGTGAAAAATGGCGTCCACGTGACTTTGTTAGGCACTTTCGTTGGAATTTTGATCTGGAAGTTTTTGCCTGCTCCGGGAATTGAACCTGAGACCTTCCGAACACTGAACGAAGACCTTACCTACGAAGCTATGCCGGCCGCCTGAAAATAGTGACGAAAAACGTGCATTTACCTTCGAATTAAACGTGCACTGCACAGCCAGGATATCTCGACCAGTTTTTATTGATTTGATCGTTTCTTACTTTAATTCATTTCAGTTTATTACTTTACTTCATTTTATTTTTTACCTGTTTTTTTCATTTTTACCTTTATTTCATTTTATATTCTTTTTTATTCAGTTTACTCTACTTTATTAATACATTCTATTTTGTTATATTCCCTATTTTATTTTTTTACTATATTTCATTTTTTTAAATTACTTTATTTTTTAATTTTTTTATTTTTCACGCTGTGGTATTTTACTTTTTTCTCTATTTTATTTTATTTTATTTTATTTTAATTTATTTTATTTTAATTTAACTAGAGGGCTCCGCCCCCTGGCCGCTCCGCGGCCCAACCCCCTCGTATATTCTGTCAATTCGTTATGAAAATATCACTTAATTTTTTTTAATTTACATTATTCTCGTAAATTGTATTAATATTAATACTGCTGAAGTTCTGTTAAGTGCTTATTCATTCAAAAGATCATCTTCAATTTAGCTAAAAACTTACTTAAATTAAGGTTGGAGTTTTAAAAAAAGGTGAATAATCAGTTTGAAACGGTTTATATGGGATAAAATAAAATGGATGGAAAGCAAATAGGATAGAATATAATATAATATAAACGAAATATAATTGGTTTGTCATTAATAAAACGGGATGTATTTATATTAACCTTGATAAAAGGCCACAGGTCGGTTTGATATTTAAATTAAAGAGTGGCGGTGATGCGTAACAATTTTCGGATTTGCTGCTGCAATTCCCGAGTAGTAGTGATCGCCATAAATTGCGATTTAATCGGAGAATATATCGCGATTTTATCGACGTCGCGATTTATTGCAATATTATCGGATAAAAAAATCGCGATTTTATCGCGATACTGATCGCGATCTGATCGCTGATACTATCGGTATACTGATTTTTCCGGGTAAGAATACCACTTTTATTCGTAATCAATTCCCGGTAACTTAATTTACCATTTTATTTCTGTAATTCTACCACAGGCGATAAAAAATATCGGCGTTTTTACCAAGGTCCATCGATATCTTTGCCATCTCACTATTCTTGGTAATTTTACAAAGACAGAATGATGAGATTACCAGTAGAACCTCATTTTACCAACCGTATTTCATAAAGTACAGTACGTATTTCATAAAGTACAGAGGAGGGAAAATAAAAAAAAAAAAAAAATCCAATGAAAACTCGGTGTCAGTCAACGCAATGTAAAAAGTTGTAAGGTTGCGAAGCGCCGATCCATCTACATAGAGGCAATTCGCACTTGGGAATCATGTTGCGGCCATAGCCTAATGGAAAAGTGTTGGCCTACCACCGTGGCGACTGAGGCGATAATCGCTCATATGTTGATGATCCTAGCGATTTTATCACCGGTAAAATCGACCGGTAAACGTGATGGACGCACGGAGAACGCCCAGAGTTAACGCCAGGGGATGAAACCCCTTGGGGACGTGATGGTACAATTTTTTATCTACCAATATTATTTTTATTATTTTTATTTTATCGGCGATAAAATCGCAATTTTTCCGTTGAAAAATGCTACTTGGGTTGGGTGATTTAATTTTACCGTGAATAATATTGGTAGATAAAAAATTGTACCATCAAGTCTCCAAGGGGTTTCATCCCCTGGCGTTAACTCTGGGCGTTCTCCGTGCGTCCATCACGTTTAGTGAAATTATAATTTTAAGTTATATACATAATAAAAAAAGGTTTGTTCATAGGGACAAAATTAATTGTTTTTAAGATAATAAGTACATTTTGCATTCCTCAATTTAAACAGTAGAAAATATACAAAGTTAATGCAGAACTTCTTGATAAACAATGTTCATTGCTGTGTTTTTATTTTTGTCGTCATCAAAATTAATGATTTTTATTTTTAAACCCTCTTTAGTCCTACATCTAGACAATGCTACATACAGTTGCCCGTGAGCGAACATTGGTCTTTCTTTATCTATAAAAATTCCCACTCTGTCAAACGATTGCCCTTGGCTTTTACTAATAGTCATAGCAAAAGCTAATCTAACGGGGAATTGTTTCCTATTCAAAACAAAAGGTAGGTTCGTTTGTTCTTTTGTGTTAAGTGTAATTTTTGGTAGTGAAACTATTTTTCCTTTTTTTTCTCCGGTTAAAATTGAGCAATGCAAAATGTATTTATTTATTTTTAAGACAATTAATCTTGTCCCATTGCACAATCCATCCTCGATACAAATGTTGCGTAGTAACATAACCACAGCTCCTTCTTTTAACTTCAAATTTTGACTTGGCATTCCTGAAGGGTTCAGTGAAGCTAAGTATTCTGGTTGATATCTCAGAGTTAACTCGTCTTGGTCTGTCAGGTCTCCGTCCACTGCAGTTGCCCAACTGAATCCTTCACTCACAATTGTTTCTCCTTCCATTTTTGAGAGTACTTCTTCATTCAATCTGTCAACTTCACAATTTCTGGATGCAAGAAGTATTGATGTTTTTAATGTTTCTTCGTTATATTCTTTAAAAATGCTATCAACAATGTTTTCATTACATATCATTTCTGATGGGAATTCAACTATTTCTTTCTTTCCATTTCCGATTTGTAGCAGCCATTCACTGAATTCTTCGTTGTTTGCTCTCATATTTTTTTTCAAGTGGAAGATTTTGAAATGTTTCCATAAAGGAGAGCTTATTAAAGCTGATTTGACTATTTGATTTCTGCTTCCTTTCTTTACTACTGGCAATAATTGTCTGAAATCTCCGCCTAGGCAAACTGCTTTTCCTCCGAATGGATCATTGTTTCTCATTAAATCTTGCAAGGTTACGTTCACTATTTGAAAAGCTGTTGACAATATCATTGAAGCCTCATCCCATATTATAAAATCAACTTCTGTTAATATTTGTTTTAATGCTGTTGTAAGTTTTGCCGGTTTAATGTCGTTTTCGGATGTCATCTGAAGTGGCAATTTAAAAACCCTGTGAGCTGTTTTTCCACCAGGAAGTTGATAAATGCGGTTATCGAAACGTGCGATTATCGATACATGCGATTTGTTGTGTTTGATTGTGTTTCATGGTGTGTTTGATGTGTTTGATTGTGTTTCATGATGTGTTTGTTGTGTTTGATGTGTTTGATTGTGTTTCATGATGTGTTTGTTGTGTTTGATGTGTTTGATTGTGTTTCATGATGTATTTGTTGTGTTTAATGTGTTTGATTGTGTTTCATGATGTGTTTGTTGTGTTTGATGTGTTTTAGGTGTATCATGATGTGTATATTGCGTTTTACGTGTTTCATGATGTGTTTGATGTGTTTGCTATGTTTCATGATGCATTTGATGTGTTTTATCCCGGTTCCTTAACATAGTTACATCCACTATTATAAATGACTATACTGTATAGGTAAAATTACTGCATATTATCCCGGTCACTCTGAAGAAATCCGGTTTTATCCCAGTCATTACTGCTTTAGAAAAAAACGATGTATCGAAGATCGATACACAAAGATCGATATCCTTCCTGTTTTCCCGGTTTCTTAATATAGGTACATCCCGTTTTATCCATGACTATCCTGTATAGGTAAAATTCCTCCACTTTATCCCGGTCACTATGAAGAAATCCCGTTTATACCAGTCATTACTGCTTTAGAAAAAACGATGTATCGAATATCGATACACAATGATCGATATCCTTCCTGTTATACCAGTTTATTAATATAGGTACATCCCGTTTTATCGATGACTATCCTGTATAAGTAAAATTCCTCCCTTTTATCCCGGTTATTATGAAGGAATCCCGTTTTATCCCAGTCATTACTGCTTTAGAAAAAAACGATGTATCGAAGATCGATACACAAAGATCGATATCCTTCCTGTTATCCCGGTTTATTAATATAGGTACATCCCGTTCATCCATGACTATCCTGTATAGGTAAAATTCCTCCCTTTTATCCCGGTTATTATGAAGAAATCCCGTTTTATCCCAGTCAATACTGCTTTAGAACAAACGATGTATCGAAGATCGATACACAAAGATCGATATCCTTCCTGTTATCCCGGTTTATTAATATAGGTACATCCCGTTCATCCATGACTATCCTGTATAGGTAAAATTCCTCCCTTTTATCACGGTTATTATGAAGAAATCCCGTTTTATCCCAGTCAATACTGCTTTAGAACAAACGATGTATCGAAGATCGATACACAAAGATCGATATCCTTCCTGTTATCCCGGTTTATTAATATAGGTACATCCCGTTCATCCATGACTATCCTGTATAGGTAAAATTCCTCCCTTTTATCCCGGTTATTATGAAGAAATCCCGTTTTATCCCAGTCAATACTGCTTTAGAACAAACGATGTATCGAAGATCGATACACAAAGATCGATATCCTTCCTGTTATCCCGGTTTATTAATATAGGTACATCCCGTTCATCCATGACTATCCTGTATAGGTAAAATTCCTCCCTTTTATCCCGGTTATTATGAAGAAATCCCGTTTTATCCCAGTCAATACTGCTTTAGAACAAACGATGTATCGAAGATCGATACACAAAGATCGATATCCTTCCTGTTATCCCGGTTTATTAATATAGGTACATCCCGTTCATCCATGACTATCCTGTATAGGTAAAATTCCTCCCTTTTATCCCGGTTATTATGAAGAAATCCCGTTTTATCCCAGTCAATACTGCTTTAGAACAAACGATGTATCGAAGATCGATACACAAAGATCGATATCCTTCCTGTTATCCCGGTTTATTAATATAGGTACATCCCGTTCATCCATGACTATCCTGTATAGGTAAAATTCCTCCCTTTTATCCCGGTTATTATGAAGAAATCCCGTTTTATCCCAGTCAATACTGCTTTAGAACAAACGATGTATCGAAGATCGATACACAAAGATCGATATCCTTCCTGTTATCCCGGTTTATTAATATAGGTACATCCCGTTCATCCATGACTATCCTGTATAGGTAAAATTCCTCCCTTTTATCCCGGTTATTATGAAGAAATCCCGTTTTATCCCAGTCAATACTGCTTTAGAACAAACGATGTATCGAAGATCGATACACAAAGATCGATATCCTTCCTGTTATCCCGGTTTATTAATATAGGTACATCCCGTTCATCCATGACTATCCTGTATAGGTAAAATTCCTCCCTTTTATCCCGGTTATTATGAAGAAATCCCGTTTTATCCCAGTCAATACTGCTTTAGAACAAACGATGTATCGAAGATCGATACACAAAGATCGATATCCTTCCTGTTATCCCGGTTTATTAATATAGGTACATCCCGTTCATCCATGACTATCCTGTATAGGTAAAATTCCTCCCTTTTATCCCGGTTATTATGAAGAAATCCCGTTTTATCCCAGTCAATACTGCTTTAGAACAAACGATGTATCGAAGATCGATACACAAAGATCGATATCCTTCCTGTTATCCCGGTTTATTAATATAGGTACATCCCGTTCATCCATGACTATCCTGTATAGGTAAAATTCCTCCCTTTTATCCCGGTTATTATGAAGAAATCCCGTTTTATCCCAGTCAATACTGCTTTAGAACAAACGATGTATCGAAGATCGATACACAAAGATCGATATCCTTCCTGTTATCCCGGTTTATTAATATAGGTACATCCCGTTCATCCATGACTATCCTGTATAGGTAAAATTCCTCCCTTTTATCCCGGTTATTATGAAGAAATCCCGTTTTATCCCAGTCAATACTGCTTTAGAACAAACGATGTATCGAAGATCGATACACAAAGATCGATATCCTTCCTGTTATCCCGGTTTATTAATATAGGTACATCCCGTTCATCCATGACTATCCTGTATAGGTAAAATTCCTCCCTTTTATCCCGGTTATTATGAAGAAATCCCGTTTTATCCCAGTCAATACTGCTTTAGAACAAACGATGTATCGAAGATCGATACACAAAGATCGATATCCTTCCTGTTATCCCGGTTTATTAATATAGGTACATCCCGTTCATCCATGACTATCCTGTATAGGTAAAATTCCTCCCTTTTATCCCGGTTATTATGAAGAAATCCCGTTTTATCCCAGTCAATACTGCTTTAGAACAAACGATGTATCGAAGATCGATACACAAAGATCGATATCCTTCCTGTTATCCCGGTTTATTAATATAGGTACATCCCGTTCATCCATGACTATCCTGTATAGGTAAAATTCCTCCCTTTTATCCCGGTTATTATGAAGAAATCCCGTTTTATCCCAGTCAATACTGCTTTAGAACAAACGATGTATCGAAGATCGATACACAAAGATCGATATCCTTCCTGTTATCCCGGTTTATTAATATAGGTACATCCCGTTCATCCATGACTATCCTGTATAGGTAAAATTCCTCCCTTTTATCCCGGTTATTATGAAGAAATCCCGTTTTATCCCAGTCAATACTGCTTTAGAACAAACGATGTATCGAAGATCGATACACAAAGATCGATATCCTTCCTGTTATCCCGGTTTATTAATATAGGTACATCCCGTTCATCCATGACTATCCTGTATAGGTAAAATTCCTCCCTTTTATCCCGGTTATTATGAAGAAATCCCGTTTTATCCCAGTCAATACTGCTTTAGAACAAACGATGTATCGAAGATCGATACACAAAGATCGATATCCTTCCTGTTATCCCGGTTTATTAATATAGGTACATCCCGTTCATCCATGACTATCCTGTATAGGTAAAATTCCTCCCTTTTATCCCGGTTATTATGAAGAAATCCCGTTTTATCCCAGTCAATACTGCTTTAGAACAAACGATGTATCGAAGATCGATACACAAAGATCGATATCCTTCCTGTTATCCCGGTTTATTAATATAGGTACATCCCGTTCATCCATGACTATCCTGTATAGGTAAAATTCCTCCCTTTTATCCCGGTTATTATGAAGAAATCCCGTTTTATCCCAGTCAATACTGCTTTAGAACAAACGATGTATCGAAGATCGATACACAAAGATCGATATCCTTCCTGTTATCCCGGTTTATTAATATAGGTACATCCCGTTCATCCATGACTATCCTGTATAGGTAAAATTCCTCCCTTTTATCCCGGTTATTATGAAGAAATCCCGTTTTATCCCAGTCAATACTGCTTTAGAACAAACGATGTATCGAAGATCGATACACAAAGATCGATATCCTTCCTGTTTTCCCGGTTTCTTAATATAGGTACATTCTGTTCATCCATGACTATCCTGTATAGGTAAAATTCCTCCCTTTTATCCCGGTTATTATGAAGGAATCCCGTTTTATCCCAGTCAATACAGCTTTAGAACAAACGATGTATCGAAGATCGATACACAAAGATCGATATCCTTCCTGTTTTCCCGGTTTCTTAATATAGGTACATCCCGTTCATCCATGACTATCCTGTATAGGTAAAATTCCTCCCTTTTATCCCGGTTATTATGAAGAAATCCCGTTTTATCCCAGTCAATACTGCTTTAGAACAAACGATGTATCGAAGATCGATACACAATGATCGATATCCTTCCTGTTATCCCGGTTTATTAATATAGGTACATCCCGTTCATCCATGACTATCCTGTATAGGTAAAATTCCTCCCTTTTATCCCGGTTATTATGAAGAAATCCCAGTTTATCCCAGTGAATACTGCTTTAGAACAAACGATGTATCGAAGATCGATACACAAAGATCGATATCCTTCCTGTTATCCCGAATTATTAATATAGGTACATCCCGTTTTTCTAGGACTATCCTGTATAGGTAATAATCCTCCCTTTTATCCTGGTTATTAGAAGAAATACATCCCATTTTTATACCTGTCTACCTATCCCGGGGATTTTCAATGACGTTTTCTGATTGGTTAATGAAAGACCAATGAGAATGCGAAATGACACGGACGTGCACACAAAAAAGGCCTTATTTTTTTTTACTATAGTAAGATTTATTTTATTTTAATTTATTTTATTTTATTTTATTTTATTTACTTTGTTTCATTTTCTGACTGCACTTTATTTTTCACTTAATTTTGTTTTTTCACTTTTTTCATTTTCTAACGTCCGCTTCCAACGTATATTTTTTTTACGACATTACATGTCTTTAATCTACCTATTTTATTTTTACTTCATTCTTGTTTTTATTTTACTTAACGTTCTGAATTTACTTTTTTAGGTACATATAATTATTCTTATAGCTTCCTCCACTGTAGATATAAAAATGTTTAGCACAAAGCAAATGTTCTATTATCTACCCATAAAATTATCCAATAATAAGCTAGTTAATATTTAATTTTTCCTTATTTAATCCTGAAACTCAAATGTGACCTGTGTGATGTCACCTAGCTTCCAGGTGATGTCACCTACCTTCCAGCGACGTCACCTACCTTCTGGGTGATGTCACCTACCGTCTAGGCAATGCCACCTACCTTTTAGGCGATGTCACCTATTTTTTAGGTGATCAGTTTTACCAGGGATATTGGATTCAAAACTGAGAAAATATGTTGCTTAGTCAGAAACAATTTTTTTTCAAAATTGTTTTTTATAAATACTGC